TCTAAATAATGTCACTAAGAAGGACAGTTATCCTCTCCTACGAATCGACGACTTACTGGATACTTTCGCTATTCCTCTTTCTACACTTCACTTGATCTTGCTAGCGGATATTGGCAGATCGAGATGAACTCCGCTGACAGGAAAAAGACTGCCTTCACATCTCAATTCGGCATCTTCGAATTCAATATTATACTGTTTGGTCTCACTAACGCCCCCACCACATTTCAACGGCTCATGGATCATATTTTTCAGGGCCTTAATAGAAGATTCATTGTTATCTATTTAGATGACATCAATATTTTCTCATCTATATTTGATGACCACCTTCGACACCTTGCTGAGGTATTTAATCAACTTCAGGAAGCGGAACTGAAATTGAACCCCAGAAAGTGCCATTTCGCCAAGAGTGAACTTAAATTTCTTGGCTATACCATAAATGGAATGGGAATTTTTACTGACACTCAGAAGATAGAAGTTGTTAAGAACTTCACCATCCCAACTAATCTCTGTTAGCTCCGCAGATTCATCAGCTTGGCTTTCTACTACTATTGATTCATCCAAGACTTCTCAAAAATCGCCGCCTCTCTGAATGCCTTATTAAAGAAAGACACTAAGTACATCTGGACCCCCAAACATTATATTGCTTTCAATATCCTCAAGACCAAGCTTGTCACTGCCCCTATCTTAGCTTATCCCGATTTTACAAGTGATTTTCTACTTTTCACCGATGCATCTGGAACAGCGTTGGGCGCAATTCTGTTCTAAAAGGACTTACAGGGGAGAGAAGGGGTCATTCATTACGCAAGTAGAGCTATGACCAAGTCAGAAAAAAATTATTCAGTGACCAAACAGGAGTGTTTGGCTATTGTCTGATCTGTTTTCTACTTTCAGCAATTTCTTTATAGATCCTATTTCACCTTGATTATAGATTACTCGGCCCTTGCCTATTTATTGCGACATTGTCTACCGAGAGGACGTCTTGCTCGTTGGATTCTAGCCTTCCAGGAATATGAGTTTGCAGTGATACATCGTTCGGGAAGCAACACTCAAATACTGACAGTCTTTCTCAACTTGTACACTCCTCTAAAGGTTAGGACAAAAAGAAACAACGTCTCTGTTACCAATGTCATCATCAAGGACACTATGCCGCTGAATGTTTTTCCACCTACATGATAAAGACCAACCAAAATTTATTTGCTAATTCTGACAGATCTCTCCAATTCTAACTATCTACCCTCTCCCATCTTATATCCTCGATTGTAACCACTTTTCTAGTAACACTTCTTACTAAACTTTTTAAATCTACTCTTAAAATCTTCAAAATCATAGATCCTATACAATATCAAAACTTTGTCAATTATCTTAACAAATCTACTAATAATAACAATTGACAACAGACTCGTCTCCAACAACAAACCTGACATTTTGTCGTAGTCAACAATCAATTATTCAAACATCATTGTCGACCTCCCCACCGTCTGTTAAAGGTATTACTACCTCACGAAGTAAAGCCCATTCTCTTTGGTATGCACTCGGATCTACTGTCAGGGCATTTTAATACCTGACCACGCTATAACGCATATCCCTTCAATACTTTTGGCCTCAAATGGGTGAGAACATCAGACAATATGTTAGATCATGTGATGCTTGTTAGCGTCGAGGCAAGCCCAGAACCCCTGAGCCCTTGTATCCAATCAAAATCAGCCAACTATTTGACAGGGTCAGTATTGACATCGTTGGTCCTCTTATCCCTACCGAATCTGAAAATCGATTCATTGTTGTTGCCATGGCCATTCCAGATGCTTCAGCTTCATTGGTGGCTACGTTTTTTATCGAGAATGTCATATATTGTCACAGGAGTCCTCGCAAATTGTTGTCAGACCAAGGAAAGCATTTTGATAATCAGCTTGTCGATGCTATTTGTTCCCATCTACAAATTGATCATCAGTTTTCTTCAAGTTACCATCCTCAGACCAACGGACTAGTTGAGTAATTCAACAATACTCTTTGTGAAGTACTGACCAAGTGCACTATCCAATTTTCAGGGATTAAGATCGGTATATTTCTCCAGCCTTATTTGCTTACCACACCACCAAACATTCGACTATCCGATATGAACCCTTCTACCTTCTTTACAGAAGGGAAGCCTTGTTATCTTCTGATATAACCTATGTCACTCCAGAACTTCTCCCGACTAATGAACTTGAATTACAGGAAAATATATTATGGAGGGTTGAAGTGTTGTTAGAAGATCTCACTCAGGCCCAAATAGATGCCCAAGAACAGACACGTAAGGCCCAGAAGTGACAAAAGGATCAGCATAACCAATGTTATCAACTCACAAGTTATTCCATTAGTGATACAGTTTTCCTATATTGATCATTATTGGAAGGAACTTATAAGGGTAAGCTCAAAGAAAAATGGAAAGGTCCTTTCTACATCCATAACGTCCTTAGCAACAGAAGTTATAAACTTCGAACCCTTGACAACAAAGTACTGAAATGGACTGTTCATGGTAATTGGCTCAAGCTTTACTTTTCTCCCCTGGATAGATTAGATTCAATGATTTCACAGGAGCTCAATAATTAAGGAGGGAACTGTCACGATCATCACTTAACTTTTTGCTACTTTGACTTAATGATCGTTAAATGATTAACTACTGTAGCAATAAAATAGACTTGCCACCCTTACGATGATCGTTCACATGCAATAGTCCAATTTGATATTCTCTACAAAATCGTACTACTAAACATTTTTTTTCTTTTTCTATTTTTATATAATCGATATATAGATTTTATTATTACCATATCTATCCCTTTCTCTTTTCCATTTTTATATTACTATATCCAATCTTACTTATTACCATATTTAGTTATTATCTACTTCCCTATTTACATATGACGATTGCCCAAAGTCACATAGGGCCTAATTCTTCCATAATCCAGCCCAAATAGCACAACGCATGATTTCACTAACTTCCCTTTCCAACTCAAGTTGAAGGTCGATTCTCTAAAGTGGTGTTGAAACCATCCATCAAAGTTAGGACATGAAGCATTCAATTACTATCACTGATTATTAACCTAAAAGTGACTGGCATTCTCTCCAACATTCCAGGAAGAGTCTTTATATAAATAACGAAGTCCTGTCGATTCCCCAATCTTAGAAAATTGTTGTAAGTAATTCACAGTGCCGATACTAACGAAGAAGTTGTCCTGATAAAGATCTCCAAGTTGAAGGACCGTGTGTGAGAATCGCAGAGTTGAAGGCATAAATAGTATAAGGTTATGGCAGGACAGTTGAAAAGAGGAGGATAGTTGTAGAGAACAGGGTTAGTTATAGGAAGGGAGTTGCGTTGATAATAAGAGTAGTGTAATTCTTTTATGTATGTATTTAAAGGCTCGACTTTTCGTCTTTAATAAAAATTCTTCAGACTTCGATCTCTTACACATTTAAATATAAAAACTTGACTTGTCGAATTCTCACTCTTACTGCATTATTGTTTCATCGTGATTACATTTTAAAAAACTTCACCTTTATTTATTTCTTCAATTATTTATTTATTTATTTATTTATTACATCATATAATTATTACAACTACCACATTGTTCTGCCTCACTATTATTAAGACTTGTTATCTCCCTTAACGGTCTTTTAAAAAGTTTAACTTATTTCTATCTAGCATCTATAGACCTAGAATTGTCCTTATTGCAACTTACTATCATATGATCACTGATATCCTTATAATTCTTACCGCATCTCTTATAGTTATCTTGCATACAATCCGCACATACATATACTAATAAATACCCTTTTTGTTCACTATTGCTGACCTAAACCCAGCACTCACTTACTGACGCTCTTCCAAACCGATAGTAACACCTGAGAAAGTCAAAGATCAAATCCTCTAAGACTTTGAAAAGACTGAGCCATGTTAGTGAATCAAAATATTTGCATGTGGTTAATAAGTATAGTATGTGGATTATATAAAAAATGTACAAAAACAAACAAAGTGATGACTTTTTGTTTGTATTTGAATAATATTAAAAGACATCAGGCTTTTGAACTTATAATTAAATCAACACAGTCATGTAAAATAAATCTATCTAAATATTTAAATAAATTTTACTGTTATATTAAAATTTTTCCATATAACACTTCTTACATATGTAAGTTATTCGTTAACATTATAATTACTGACAATTATTTCCAATTCTCTATTTCATCTAACCCTACTTAGTGCTAATTTTAAGGAAATAATTGCTATATTATTGACCCATAATAATTAATTAAAAGCATTGTATATGACAGCATAATGATGAATATTATATGTCAAATTAAAGACTAGGATAAGTGCTTATGCTAGAAGTAGTAATTGTATCCATTCTGAAATCAAACTCTGTTACTTATGAGTAGGTAACCCAGGTAGTAATATTCATAAATACAGTTTTGTAGTTCAGCTTTCTGAAATGCAATTTTTCAAATTTTATAATTTAAATATTTCTTTTTCTAACAAAATGCATTTTGGGTTCTGTTTATTTTTACCAATACTCACTTTACTGATAGTTAGTTCATCAAGAGTTTAACTTACCTATAGTTCATTTTATTGATAATTCTGATTATTGTCATTAGGTCAGGTTTAGAATTAAAATTAAGGTTAGCATAATTTTTAAAAAAAGCTGTTGATAAAACAGGTTATTAGTAAAATAATTGTTAGTAAAATAAACTGGTTGGTAAATTGACTATTAGTAAAGTATATTGGAAATATGTGCCATGTTTGTGACGCAGCAAAAAAATATTTAAAGTTCGTTAAGGTTAGGATTAGTGTTTATTATAAAGTTAGAGGTTAGGTGATTATATAGTAAAATCGCTCAAGGAAAACTTGGTTTTTTTGCAGATTTTCGATTTTTGACAAAACGAACGGTTGTTTTGAATTTTCCTAATTACATCTGAGCTTGAAAACTTATTCGTAGATTAGGCAATATGCGCCACAGTTGTGTCACAAACCTGGCACACATTTCTGACATGCATTAGTAAAACAAGAGGTTGGTAAATTGGTAACAAATGAGTGTTGAAAAAGAAAACTGAAAAATTAAATACAAGTCATATTTAAATTTTCGGGCTTTCTTTTAGCAACACTCAAATAATACATGATATTTTAATTACTTTCTATTCTTGCCTCTTTGCCAGATCTATTCTTGCCTTATTTACTAGATTTATCATCTACCAGTTTCGCCACCTTTTATTAGTTTCGCCAGTTTCGCCATTTTAATTTTTTTTTGACAAAAGTCGAAACTAGGTTTCGCCTTTTGTCTGTGGCGAAGCCTCTAGATTTTGCCTAACAACACTATTCCTGACCTAATAAAATTTCAGGTGCAATATAAGGCATAACCTCACCAATTCCATTTTTTGAAATGCATACTTCATTCTTTCGGGCAGTCCTAAATCTGTAATATAGGATTTTAACGAACCAAGTCATGGAATCCATCAGTGCGACCATGAAATTTTCGGTCACGTGATAAACAACAAAAAATCCTGAAATTCGTTAAAGTTCAGAAGTCAGGGTTAGTGCCGTTGTTACTATCAGATCGGGAGAGCATCAGTAAGTTAGTGCTGAGTTTAGGTCAGTGATAGTTAGGGTTGTTAATGGAGCAACATACTCCGGAGCAACCCAGGTTATACTCCAATTTAAGGTTGGAGTGGGTTGAGATTTTAAAAATTATATAATAACCCGGAGCAAAGCTATTTCTTATAACCCAGGTTGCTCTATATGGAGTGATCTGGAGCAAACCCAGCTTGCTCCATATGGAGTAATCTGAAACAGCTCCATATGGAGTGACCTGGAGCGAAACCTGGGTTGCTCCATATAGAGTGATCTGGAGCAAAACCCAGAGCAAAAATAACCTGGCAACACGGCTTTTAATTTTATTTTCAAAAAGTTTTATATTTAAAAAAGCATAAAAATTTTTATAAACTTTTAAAAAAATTTCACCCGGATAGTAAATATAGTCAAAAATTTTTTTAAGAATTTTGCGAAATTTAACCCAGCCAGGTTATGAGAACCAATTTGTTAAGTTTGTATGGCCTTATATAGTATAAAACAATTTATATGTCATTTGATTCAGTCCCATTCTCATAATACCACGTTTGCACCATAAATGAGATACTAAATTCAAAGTTGACCCCCCTACAATTTTT